TTCCTTCACACTTGTCACTTCTCCTGCTTCATGCTTTCCAGCCAACTTCGATCTTCGAAACTTTAAATGCAATGTCAATCATTATCTACTGTCTTCTTGATTCCTTTGCTTTTATTGTTCTCACTCTTTAATAATGTTTCTCTTTTTTCTTATTCTTTCACACTCAGTAACCCCTTGTGTCATAGTGGCTTTATTACCTTGCAAGGCTTGAAATAATTAAAAAAAATATCAATAAAACAGGTAGTGGAAAAGACAGGTTTTGTTAGGTCACTAACCAGGTAACCCAGTACTATCTGCCCCATGGTCTGGTCATCAGTGATTAAATCAGTTTTGATGATGATGATGATGATGATGATGATGAAGAAGAAGAAAGACAGAATTAATAAAGTGCTTTCATTTACCTAAATATTTTATTAATATCTTTTCCATGAGAACTATTTAGTTTTTTAGACTGTGAAAAATTTAGTTTCATTTTAGAAGCTTTAGAAGTTAAAAAGAAAAAAGATGATATCATTAATTGGTACTATTTAAAAATGAGAGATAGTCAATTGTTAATAAGTCACTTACTTAAAGAATGGTATTATTTCATAGGTTTAGAGAAAGTATTTCTATTTCATCTGAATCTATCATAATTATAAGTAATAATAGACTGTAATTTCAAGGCTAAATAATTTGTTAACTGTATACTTGACATTTGAATCAATACAAGACAGGCTGAAAATTGTCTTCCAAAGAACAAGAACAATTATTAGGTGCTGCTTTCTGTTCTCTATCCAAATGAAAAAAAAAAAACAAAAGATAAAAAGGAGAAAAGAAAGAATAATTATTAGGTACTGCTTTCTGTTTTCTATCCAAATGGAAGAAAAACGAAAGAAAGAAAGATAAACAGAAATAGAAAGAGAAAAGGAAGAACAATTATTAAGAGCTTCTTTCTGTTCTCTATCCAAATGGAAAAAAAAATGAAAGAAAGAGAAAAACAAAGAGAAAATGAAGAATAATTATTAGGAACTGCTTTCTGTTTTCTATCCAAATGGGAAAAAAAAGATAGAAAGAGAGAAATCCAAAATGAAATAGAAAAAGAAATAAGTAGAAAGAGAAAAAGAAAAAGTATAAAAAGAGATTTTTTTTAATCATTTCACCCCAGGCAAGGCAATAATGTCACTAATAGACAAGTGGTTACTGAGTGTGAAAGAAAATGAGAAGACATTAGTGAGGAGAAAGGACATAAAACAATTGGATACAGGAAGACAGCAGATAATGATTGATATTCCATTTAAATTTTTTGAAGATCATAAGTGACAGGAAAGCAAGAAACCTGAGGAGAGTTCCATAGATAAAAAGTACGAGAAAAGAAGCTATTAGAATAGAACTTACTGTTACATTTAGCTATTTCAACAGTAAAACAATGAGACCCAATACCCAATCTAGTACTGTACTTATATTCATGTAGTCAAGATATCAAGGAAGAGAGCTCATTAGAAAAATTGCCATGAAAATATTTGTGGAAAAGATACAAGGAAGTTACCTCATGGCAGTGAGAAAGTGACTGAAGTCTAGTTGCTAAGTTAGGATTGATATTATTAAAGACCATTCTTTGGATTGTGTCAAGAATCTTGAGATATATAGCAGGAGTACCAGACAATATATGGCAGCAATATTCAATGCATTAATAGATGGTAGAATTATAAACATGAAAGATAGATTCTGGCATGAAAAACTGTTTGGTATATCAGTGGAAAACATAAAATCAAGAAGGCATAATTAGTTGCTTTCCTAGAAATTTGCATCAGCCATGCTGATGGAAAGAAAAATGGTTCTCTCTGATGACTAAGACTGCTATTTTATTTTTGAAGCATTAAAACTTACAAACCATTTCTTGCCCCAGTTAACAACTAATTAGAGGTCATTTTTAGATCAGTTGCCACTTTTACTTCATCAAAATTATCTGACTTCCTATTAAGACAGGAGTACATAGTTGTATCATCAGCATAAATACTGAATTGGTAACTGATAACATCAGAAAGGTCATTGATGGGGACTCCCATGTTAATGTTAAAGCATTTAGAAGAGTGGTCATTCAATATGATTTTCATTACACAATTTGTTAAGAAAGATTGGATCAAGTCAAATATTCAGCCAGAGAGACCATAATCTTTCATAGCCTTCTTGTGAAGAAGGCCAGCAAATCAAACCTTGTCAAATACCTTTGAGCTATCTAAAGCTCCAACCTGAGCCTCACCATTCTTATCTAAGATTTGATAGACAAATTCAGTGATAACCATTAACACATCAGTGGTTGACCTAGAGAAGCACAAACCATATTGTTTATCTGAAAAAAAGGCCAGGTGAAGTGAGATTCTTAACCAACTCAGAGTTGATTAGAGCCTCTAATACAAAAGAGATAAAAGATTAATAGGATAATAATTCAAGGGATCAGAATGTTCATTGAACTTCTTAAAGACAGGAACTAGAGAAGAGAATTTCCAACAAGCTGAAAAGTAAGAAGCAACAAGGCATTTGTTGTAGAGAACAGGAACCAGTTCAGGAGCACATTTGTTTAGGAAAATTACAGGGATACCATCAAGTCTGCGTGTCTTTTCTCTTTTTTTTTTTCAGTAAGGTTCACCCTGTACAATGCCCAGGGGCCACTCGAGGTAGAGGGTTGCATTAAGGGGTAGTTTTATAGGATAGGAGGGGAAGATAATCGTTGACTCTAGACTTGAACAGGTTAAGATTGTAGTGATCGGAGAAACATTCTCTAAGGAGTCTGTTTCATAGGGTAGTGGTTCATAGGAAGAAGCAGTTTGAGTGAAACTTACTTCTCGCTGACGGAATACAGAGGGAATGTGGGTGGTTTGCTACAATGTAAGTGGCATGGTGGGTCCTAGCTGTGAAAGTCAGACCTGGTGGAACCATGGGATACAGTTTATCCGAGCACTTTCCATGGTAGTAACGATAGAGCAGTGAGAGGCTCGCCACATCCCACCAGAGAGAGAGGTTAGAGGTAGAGGATAACATGAGGAGTCAGTTGCTTAATAGGGTGGTACAGGGAGCCGACAGGTTAGGTCAGGCCAGGCTTAGATTCTGCTACTGGTAACATTGTAACCCAGTAGAACCTGCTGCATGGATGGGTGGTCAGCGTCTAGACTGGCTTCCCTACAAATGGATACTGGTGAGGAAGGTGGCATGTCACCCAACAGGACTAAAAACAAGGTCAAAAGGCAGAAGAACTTCTAGCAAATCAACAGCCAACTTACAAAGTTGATGGGGAGATAGGGGTTCTAGAGCCTTGCAAGGCAACCTATGTAGAGGTAGGTCACTGTGAAATATAACTTGCATCCTTCTACATTGCTTATCTTGTGGCAGCCGTTGAACCAGAAAGCAGATGGCAGACATTGGACAAGAGACTGGCACTGGGAATGTACAAACCTTTCTCACTTAAATAAAATTTCAGATGCAGGTCATCCTATGATAGTAGATGAATCTGGCTCTAGAATAGGACCCTACTATCACAAAAGTAATGTGTTGATGGAATATTCATGCTTTGGCTCACAACGTGACAATCCATCATCACAGGGAGTCGATATTCTACCTGCATGGATCCAGTTTAGAGATGATAGCAGAAAGCATGGACGACATGAGAATCCATCATCACAGGGAGCCTATCATTCTTCCTGCATGGATCCAATTTAGAGATGAAAGCAGAAACCATGGATGACATGAGAATCCATCATCACATGGAGCCTATCATTCTTCCTGCATGGATCCAGTATAGAGATGATAGCAGAAACCATGGATGACATGAGAATCCATCATCACAGGGAGCCTATCATTCTTCCTGCATGGATCCAGTTTAGAGATTATGGCAGAAACCATGGATGGAGTTTTATGTGTATCACTCAGTAGTGATTCCATTCTCTAGGTGGGAAATCAAAGATATTCCAGTGATACATTATTGTTCTATTAATGTATGCTCCCTAATTGATGTATAGGAATGTGATTCTCACTCCCTGATACATCCTTTTTCTCCCTAACCCCTTTCTTATTCTCTTTCTTCTGGTACCTAATAAATGCCAGTCACATTTAGTGTCAGGTCTCTCAAACCTGGTTTGTCCTGTTTTCCATGATTAAAGTTAACATAGTGGCCATGAGGAAATAATTCAAACTTTACGACCTTGCAAATGAGGATTGATACCTACAAAAAAAAGATGTTTCAGTGGTGTTCGGTGTTTGGAGTGACGATAACATGACAAAAAAAGTATACATGTACGTGAAAATGTTGGAAGGATTCCAGTCAAACATATTGGCATGGGACAAACTGGACATTAAGACTAATGCCTCAGAAAGATGGAAGCTCTAGAAACAGATGTGGAATAATTACAGCATTGTCACCAAACTGTGTACAAAATAAGGAATACCAAACAGTATTATGTCTTCATGCTAACGAACCAGATGCATTGATAGTTTACAACAATTTTCAATTCACTTCAATGGAAAACAAAGATGACCTGGACACAGTAATAGCCAAATTTGATCAACATTTTATCGGACAGAACGAGATGTATGAACAATGTCTTCAACAAAAGAGATTGGGAACCAGGTGAGAACATTAATTCATATCCAACTACGCTTCAGAAATAAGCAAAGTCTTGCAATTCTTTGCTATGCGACCACATAGAGACAACCAGGCACATAAAAGAATGCTAAAACTTTCAACACAAAATCTCAAACAATGTATTGTTATATGATGAACTTGTGAAGCTATGACTACACAGTTGAGACATATGAGAGACCTGAATGTGACAGATGAAATAAACAGAGTGCAAAAACAAAGTTGCAAACAGAAATACAGTATTAAACAGAGACAAATAGACTGTAATAAGCATAAAATTAACTGTTTTTTTTTTCAAATTCTTCCAATGATACTGAATGATGAATATGTGTTATGTGTAAACTTGGAGAAAGACCAGCCGGATAAGATTATCTATGCAAATATGGTGCTAGAAAAAAGGAAGGTAAAGTTTCAAGTGGACTGTGGAGCTACCGTCCCATATGAGCATAATACCTACCTGCAACCGTTTACCATGAAACTCAAAATAGCGTCCATTGGAAAATGTTGAATTGTGCTGCACCAGCCCTAAAATATGAAAAAATATTCAGTGGAATTCATTGTAGTCAAGGAGAGTTTGACCCGTTTGTTAGGAAGATGTACAAGTGAACAGATGGACCCAATAACTAAACTATACATGATTTACCTCTGCTGAGTGATGGTAATGTTATATGAATACACATGTACAAGAAAGGTGATTGAGTGTGGGAGAAAGGTGTTATAAATCACCAATTGGATGAACATTCATACAAAGTCCCAACAGCAAGTAGAACCTATCAGCATAACTGATGTCATCTACACAAATCTTCTAAACCAGTATAGCATCTCAGGGTGTAATGTACTGAATGTGTGAGCAACGATGAGGTCCTGGAGAGGATGTAAACAAGAAGGGGGCTTATACTTAACATCAGGAAGAGGCAGCTGAAGTTTCTGAGATATATAATGAGAAAGGAGGGCCTGGAGAATCTGATACTCACAGGTTTAATAGAGGAAAAGAGAGACAAGAGAAAGCAATGCATGACATACCTGGCTGGCCGGCTTGAGCAAGTGGATGACAGAATGTGGTCTGGGGGAGGTGACAGAGGGATGAAACTTATTGAGAGCTAAAAGAGATAGGGGGAAGTGGAGAGCCATGATCGCCTACATCCTGAAAGGACATGGCACATAAAAAAAAAAATGCAAGAAATTGTCAGCCACCACCAACCTCTAGAGATACTCTAAGTTTGTCATATGACATGGCAAAAACACAAAAAGCCCCTACACCTCTAACAGTATCTTCATCAGCCTCAGCTGTTGTGAGTGAAGGCATACATACAACCAAACCAGAAAAATGCAAATCTTCTATTTGGATTCACACACATGCTGGATGAGGGATACGACAGCCAGCATATCTGAAGGACTATGTCAAACTGATCAGGGACTGTACATGAGGCCATAGTCTCAACTTACAAAAGAGGGAATGTTACATTACTGTTTAATGTATACTCCCTTTGCATTACCATTTAATGAATGCTCCCTAATAGACATTAAGGAATGTAATTCTTGCTCCCTGATACATCCCTTCTCTCCCTAACCCCTTTTCTCATTCTCTTTCTTCCAGTTCCATAATAAACGCTAGTGATGTTTTATGTCAACTCTCTCAAGCCTGGTTTGTCCTGTTTTCCATGACAATGTAACATCCAGATGAGTCAAGGGTGGAGTTGGAAGCATTTTGCTTTATCAGCAGTAGGTGACAATACTTCAAACTGATTGAAAAAGAGAAGAGGGATTGAGAATTTACCTTTGTTTAACACTTTTACAGAGCCAACAGTAATCACAAGAATCAATCTTTTCAGAGGCTATATGATGTCTCATTTTATCAGCGAACAGCAACTTAGCCTTTTTGAGGATGCACTTACACTTATAACCAGCTGATACAAAGAGGTGTTTGTTATAATCCAAACTATCATGTTGGTATAGCCAAAAGAAGTGATTCCTGTGGGCTATGGCTGCTGAACAGGCAAGAGTGAACCAAGGAGAAGATTGTGGCTTTCCTAGGTATTTCTGCAATGGCACAAAAGTTTCAGTGCTGGCTTTCATCAAGGAAGAACCTCAGTGGCACAATTTTTAATGGGAAGATTAAAAATTTTACTCCATGGGGTATCATGAAGAAAATCACAAAATGTGTTCCAATCAGTGCATTGGTAACAAAATGATGTTCTATGAATAAGTGGTTCTTGCCTAATAAAGTGGAATGAAATATCTACAGACACTTCCATGTGGTTGGTTGGTTGATTTTCCTTAGTGACATATCAATCACTATGGATTATTTAATGCCAAAATCTAAATAATTTGTACACAATTTTATAGCTTCAACTAAATATGTTTTGAAGGCAATTATATGCCTTCAATTGCAGATAAAATTTTAATTTAAAAATGTAGTGTTGGTAATTTTACCATATATTATAGAAACTATCTCACTTGTTGGCAATTGTGGCCTGTAGGGACTTCCATAATTTGATCGATTCAGCAGTAGCAGCAATGGAAATAATCAGCAGGGTACAACTGGAATGCCCAGAGATCATAAAAGCCTTAAACTGAATGTTATTCACTCTCTTTTCCATTTTCCTTTTCGGCGGCCTCTACCTCACAGTCAGTTCTTGTTTCAATTTTCCATTTCAGTGGCCTCTACATTCAAGGCCCACTCTTTTCCACTTTTCCTTTACAGCAGTCTCAACCTTTAAGCCTAATTCAAAGGGCTACTCAAGCCTTGCTGCAGAAGACATGTGGCCTTGTCCTGGCAGCTTGAAACAGATTTCTTGTTTCTCCTGTGGGAACCAGCAGAGAAATCTCCCTTCGAGACACCTACTAAAAGAAAATCTATACACAACCCTTGCTGCAAAAGGGCCTAGCAGTTTCACACTCAGATTTCTCATTCTTCTTGTAGGAACTAGCAGAGAAATCTCTCTCAACAAAAACTACTCAAGAACTTTGTTAACTGAGAAATCCCACATTTCTCCCCGCAAAACACTACTATTTTGCACTCTCTTTCAACCAGAAATAAAAGCGGTTGAACAGTTATTTTAATCTTTGGGTTTTGGTTCATTCTACTCTGACTGCCAAGAACAAATACATACACAACCAGGACGAAACTTCCAATATATTGTTGGTCAATTTACTATAAATAGTATTGCATTTTTTATATATAAAGATGTGGTTGCTATATGGATATGAAACATGGACACTGTTGGCAGATACTGAGAAAATGATCCAAGCATTTGAAAACAAATGCATGAGAAAACTGCTTAGCATTTTCTATTGGGAACAAAAAAAACAGTTTGTATGGAAAAGGGTTGAAAGTTTTGCAGGATACCAGGAACCTCTTCTTGTTACTGTCAAACAGAGAAAAATGGTGTGGTTTGGATACATTACAAGGCATGACAGCCTGTACAAGACCATCATGCAAGACACTGTTGAAGGTGGATGTGAGAGATGATGCCAATGTCAAACAATGGACAAGTATGACTGTATCAGAATTGCTGATGGCTGCCATTGATAGATCATTGTGGAAAAGAATTAATTTGGCTTCTACATTCGGTTCTGCCCTATGATTACAAAAGTCAAGTGGATGATGATGATTATGTATTGCTGGTATTTTTACTATAAAAATGTGTTTTTATAATTTTATAGTGTTTTGTTTTTGTTTGAGGGGTTAACTGTTTGTGCATACCTGGGACCATAACAGATGCTACCACCCCGGGAACAGCAGCAATTAAGAGCCTTACTGCTGGATGTAGTTTATTATTGTATCTAGGACTCACTACCATGTGGTTTGAGTTGCCAAGAGAACAAGAGTTGCAAAATGTGACAAGAGTCCAAAGAGGAGGTAAGGAACAGATCAAGTAAAGAAGCATGTCTGTCAGAATTACTAAGGAAATAAGTAAGGAAATCTACTGTTTGAAGAAGAGATTGAGCAACTGAGAGATTCAAAGTCTGGATGCTGGTGATATCCATGGTATTAGAGAGATAAAAAAGAGAGATAGAAACAAAGAGAAAAATCAGAAAGAAAGAAAAGAGATAGAAACAAAGAATAATGAAAGACAAAGAGAGACAGTAAAAGATATATAAAGAGTAAAGAAAGAACAATGATCAAGACAAAGATTGATTCATTCATTCATTTTCTAGGGCTTATCAGCACTTTGCAGGTTATTTAAAGCTGGTAAATATTTTTAGAGTGTAAGAATTTTTTTGAGATAATAATAATGGTTTAGTGATACAAGTCTTACTAATTAACCCATAGCTGTGGGGAGAAGAGGTGGATTCATACCTATCTCAAAGGTATTTGGGGATGAAAAACAGAAAGATACAGAAAAAGAACGACAAGTAAAAAAACAAAAGGAAGAATGATAAAAATAAAAAGTGATAACAAAAAGAGATAAAAAGGAGAAAAAAGAGTGATAGAAAGAATAATAAAAATAGATAGGAATGAAAAGAAACTAAAAGAAAAAGAGAAAGGTTCAGTCTGAAATTTATCAAAGAAGTATTACAATGACTTTAGGTCAGCTAACATCACTTGACTGCAAGGCCAGTGCATAGGTCACACGACCCTCCAGATCTATGATACAGCCCCCCCCACTTTACTATATCTCAATTTTCATAAGGTAGTACAAGGTGAATTACCCATGTCTTGCTGTGTGTCACACATTTTTTTGTAAGAAAATGATGATTGATTTTAAATCATTGTTATAATTTGTGGAGAAAAATGATTTCAATATTACTCAATGATCTTGCCGATGTGACCTCCATCTTCTGACTTTCTCCTTCCATATTTTGGATAGGAGTCATTCCCTTGTTCAAATTTAGATTTAATTTAAGTCAAAGGGAAACAATTTTCAGTGGCAGGGTGTGCAAAAACTGCTTGGTCTGATCCTTTTGATATGTATTTGATGCAATACTTGATTGAATGAATTAATGAGCAGATTTCAACATTGATATGACAGTTGAATTGTTGCAACAAATATGTATTGTAAAGCATTACCTACTGATTGGTGATTTCTTGCTCAACTTTATGTCCATATTGTTTCATTCTGAACTTGCCAACATGACCTCTATTTTCTCACTTTCTCCTTTTATATTTAGAATAGGAGTCATTCCCTTGTTCAAATTTAATTTAATTTAAATCAAAGGGAAAAACTTTTCAATGGGAGGTTTGTGCCCCCCAGGCACCACCTTTGATCAAAATGAAATATACTTATCCAAGTACCTTGAGTAATGTAGTTTCAGAATATATATAATTATGGGGGTCTATCTCCAAAAATCTAGGAGGAGTTCAATAACAAACAGACAGACAGAGGCTACAAACTTATATATATATATTTTTTTTTTCCCTCCCCATTTTCGTTGAATAAATATTCCCCCCACCCAACTTAGGTTTGTGTTTGTGGTTTTTTTGGTCACGTGGTATGATTTTAGCTATCGCCTATAAATATGTGTTTCTCTTTGCCTCGTTAGCTTGACTTTCCCTGACGATCCGTTTAGGTGAAACCTAGGTAGGTTTGTCTGGCTCACTAGGTGTATCTAGGTTTGCTCTACAGTTGTATTAAGCGCTTTGTTAGTTAGTTGTTTACTCGTATCGGGGTTATTTCTTTGGGCTTCAGACCTGCATCTGTGCGATTTTTTGTCGACAGAAGTTCATGTTTGTAGCTCTTTCTTTTTTTAAAACCTTTTTTTCCCTCGAGATTGATTTGATTTGATATATATAGATAGATAGATATAAAATACAAAATTTATTGTAGTCTAATACCATTATTATTGAATAATGGATCAAATGCAATATAAGTGAACACTTCAACTAGAAAAATTGAAAATAAATACAATGTATCAAAATACAAATTAGAGATATGTCATAATAGATTCTTCCATCTTAAATAAATCAACAATGTTTTGTGGCAATTTTTAACATCAACTTGAGATTTTTCTTGTTAAAATATTGAATAATTTTAACACATTCAACATTATAAATAAAAAATAATGAATTTTATATACCGGCATCCCTAGAATAATGTGCATTTGATTAATGTGCATTCGATTAGTGTGGTAAAATTTTTATATACCAAAATTCGATTAGTGAATACATAATACTTGATTCGTGTGGTAAAACATTCTTCAGTTTAACCATAGTAATTGAAAATTAATATTTTTATAGTTACCAGTGTACACATTAGCTGCACTAATCAATGGATTCCAGTAGTGTTTGTTTGAGACTTTGCATAAGCAAAACAAATTCATAAATTTGGACAAAAAAAAAAAAGACACCAGAATGATGTCAAAATCTGCAAAAGATTTTCATTCTTTAATAGTTGTGCTTAGTTTAATTTGTAATGTATATAAATGTGGGTAGAAAAAAGCAAATGTTGATAAGATGGGACAGGGTTCACAAAACACAGCCGGGATCCCTAATCAGGCTCTCCCTGGTTGGGAGGTAGTATGCACCAGCCCTACATGGCTGTTACATAAGCTTCATTCCATCAAATGCTCATACTCCTTGATCAGATTCTTCAACCCATTGGATATTGTAATCAGCAACTGATAGCTGTTGATGTCTTGGACATGAACCCTAAAACTCCATAATAAATAAATAATTTTGTTTCCTTCCACTTCTTGAATTCTGCAAATAGATTAAGTGGCTTTGAGGCCCAGTTAAAAAAAAAAATGGCTCCATATTACCCGAATCTCAATCTGCCAGGATAATATCTCAAACTTTTAATAAAGCTGATTTGATAGTGATGCTGCTGCTACTAATGATGATGATGATGAAGATATAATGGAGTCATAGTCTTTCATCTTTGGGTATGTACATGAAATAAGCTTTTGAGTAAAGGCCTGTAGAAAAACGAAAATAAATTTGATACACTATAAGATATAATCATAATATTAATAATGGAGTCATAAAAGGTTTTCAGATGAGTCCAAAAGTAAGCTTGGGAATAAAGGCCTTTAAAAAAACGAAAACACTTTTGATACACTCTTATCATATACACAAAAATAAATTATAGAAAAGATATTTAACTTTGAAGATCAAACAGAATTAAAATTTAGCAGACCTATGCTTATATATGTTAATGCTGAAAAATTTCTCTATTTTCATAGTCTTGGAGAAGATTAGACTCTAGTAAACTAATATATTTTTTACTGTTTAGATTTCCATCAACTTTTACTAGTTTTCTTCTATCATCACTTTTGATGCAACCCCACACAATTATGTGTCCACCACCAAATTTTACTGTATTTGTAATTTATTTTATCTTATTTCTTCAACTGGTCTTCTTAAAAATTCTCTTGTATTATTAAAATGTAACTCTATTTTGCAAAAATCATTAAAAATTACTTTTTGACACTTTCCAGCATCCCATATTAGATTTTCTTTTGACCACTTCAATCTTATATTCCAAAGTTTTTTGGCTAATCTTTTTGTTGATTTTGATCATGTCTTTTTCAGTAAAATATTCTCTGACCATTAAAACAAACAATGTGAAATAGAAATAAAGCAGTTCTCTTCTGACAAAACTTAAATGTGCATCCGATATCATGGAATGAATCTTTTGTGAATGACACTTCAATCAATTCATTCCAGCTCAACACCTTGATCTCATCACACAACTGTGGACCATTCACACACCTCACTGCTGTTGATTTCAGCCATGAAGGTAAATGGATCAACCCTGCCAATGACACCCCATGTCATACTAAACAGCTTCACTAGTCCACTCTGTGCCTCTCATCTGATACCAGCTGTGACCTTGGTTAACTAACCCAACAAATTAGTCAACAACATGTAATTGCTTCCCTTACCAACAGCAACTAAGGAACTACAATTTTGTTACCTTTTCACACAACTATGTATATATTCTGAAAATTGATCAATACACACTGTTGAAATTTTAATCCTTGTTTGTTCTTTCCTTTGCAGCCATATACACATTGTAGCAGATCTAATACTGCCACTTCTCTATGTTGAATCTTCATGCTATATTATCTGATTTTATTGTCTCCAACTCAAGTAAGTTTATTTTGAGATCAAGTATTTTAATAACTAATTTTTTGGCTTGTCTTAAAGGGGTTGTTTTTCTTGCAACTTTCCAGGTTGAAAACTCTCTGGCTATTAAAGAAAGTAGCATGAAACAGAATAAAAAATATTTTTCAAGAGATATGTAGTGGTAAAGTTTAAGAAAGTAAAAAAAAAACTGATGAGTCAAAAGGATGTTTTTTTTTAGGCGCTGTTACTACTGCATACTCAGTTTTTATTGTTTTAAAAAGCTATTTTTAGATTTTTACTAAAACCAAAACATATAAAACTGGATTTATGTAAATAAATTAATTCATTTTGTTTAATTAATTTTTGTCAATTCTTGCGAAAAAAAGAGATTTTTCTCAAGAATTGACAAAAATGAATTAAACAAAATGAATTTATTTACAAGAATAACTTTATATTCACAATATTAAAAAAATATGTGAACCAAATGCAATGCAATATTTGATATTTACTATATAATAAAAAATAACAATGAAAACAAATGTTTTTATCCATAAATATAAAAAAATATATCTGGGAACAAGAGAATAAAAAAATTTAAATAAACACATAACTAAAAATAACAGTAATTATAAATTTTAACAAATGCATTTTCTGGGAATTTTTTTTATTTGCTCTTGTCACATTTCACTAAAATAGTGTTGCAGCATACCTACAGACAATAATGGGTATGCCCCCATTCCCATAAATACAGTAGTGAGTACTGTACGTGATCCAGAGTCAGAGATTCCTTGTGGAATTCACTTGACTCACTTCTAGCATTTGACTACTTCTACGTGCTGCTGGCAAATCTTTTATGTGTTGTTCTTGTCCTAAGTATTATTGTTCATTACCAACCTTCGTGTGATTATTCTGTTCAGTAACCTTTCCTAGGTTACAACAAATAGCTTGTGAGCGTCTGGATTTATAGATTTTTCTCAAGAAAATATATTTATTAAACTGTTTATTTACAAGAATGGTGTTTAACATTTTTGTTGCCAATCTTTAGAAAAAAATATATAAATCCATTTCCTAATGTTTGAATTTTATTAAAATTCTAAAAATAACTTTTTAAAACACTAAAAATTGCCAAGGGAGAATACAGCAATAGAAAAAAAATGTGTCTCTGTGACACACCTTTTTTTTTTTTTTTTTGTATGTTTTTTAAACTTATATCCTGGGAGCTTGTCTCACATAGGTGAGACTTTAATCAAGTCAGCTATGAAAGCTGATGATGGCTACATGGAAAAAAAATCAACAGTAATACTGCCACCCTTCTATCCTAAAGCTAGACCAAGAAAGTTAGAAAGCAATGATAAGATGAAGAAAAAAGAAAATTAATAATGTTATTAGAATAATGGAAAAGGCTGGAGGGGTATTCTTTTTTCTATCATTAAATAAGAACATGTTACTAAATTGGGGATA